ATTACAAGTAGCAGTACATAAGGAGGAGGAGTAGCAGCAGTAGTAGTAGTAGTAGTAGTAGCAGTAGTAGTAGCAGTAGTAGTGTCGTAGTATGGTAGTGGTTGTAGTGTAGTAGCAGCAGCAGAGGTGGCCCCAGCAGGAGCAGCCGCAACGGCATCACCAGCAGTAGAATTCACGACGACGACCACGACGGCCTCTTGCGACTTTTACTACTACGTACTCTTGCTATGCTGCCATGCCTGCTGTGCCCATTCCCAGCAGATAGGGTCCTCTGAATGGTCGTCATCAGTGCATAGATCAGGAAGGCGAGCGTGTGTTTCTTCTTTCGATCGCGTACTGGTGCTGCTTCTGTCAATGAGTCGGGTAGGAAAAGAGCAGCATCAGAAGAAGGAGCACCAGTAGCAGCGCAGCAAAAGTAGGAGCACCGGCAGAGTCGTGTACAAGACCGTACAAACCTGAAACACTGCCCCACACCCTCCAAACCCTGCAGCCCGAATATCCCAACACCTCCTGCCTCATGTCAGGTTCGCCCCGACCCATGAGTGGCACGAGCCTCAAAACTTTTGATGCTGTGCTTTGTCGTGCTTTTTCCCCCGGTTTCTAGCCGTTGGTCCTGGTAGCCCCAAGGCTTACGTTCATGGCTCCAGGGAGCGCGGGGCTTGCGGGGTTTGATTCAGAGCCCTGATTCAAGGAATACTGCCGGACATGAGAATCCTGGAAAGTTGCTCCCCTTCTCTGGGAACCGTACCATTGTGACCCTTTGAAAAAGAGCTGGTCATAGCTCAGAGGTCTACATCGCAGATGCTTGAATTCCCAGGTTTGTAGTGGCCCTTGGGCATGTTGTGTGGGCTGTTGGATTTCACGTCCGAGCATCTATTTGGGAATCTCCGAAAATTAGGGGATACCTTATGGTCATAATAACAATGATCCTACTATGAATGGTACCCCCAATCTATTTTTGGAAACTCCTATTTTTCCACGGTGAATGGCTGAATCCGCTGAGGGAAGTCTTGAGCTGCATGTCTTTACGGTTTTTAGGTTAACCTCTCGCATCGTCCTCGTGAACCAAAAAACCCTTAAAACCCACTAAAAACTCTATACTATACACCGAAACTAACCCAAAACCCCAAGATTAAACCCACAACGCCCAACTAAACCCTAAAACACAAAGCTTCCTCTGCCGAATCCAAGGTTCAAGGCAGAGGGTGCCGGCCCAAGACGTGGCTCCTTTAAAGGGATGCCTTGGCTTTTTAGGCTTACTTAGCCTATTGGAGAACTTTAAACTTTTTGGCTTCATATATTTGGTCTAGCTTAAAAAGTTAGAACTTTGATTGGGCCTGGTTATTGGAGAAGAGAGTAGGGTCTATAGGGTTTAGTTCGGGGCTTTGGAGTTTCCTTAAGGGCCTCTGTTATTGAGAGTTCCTTTTGAAAGGTTCCTTTAAGGCAGGTAGGGGTTTAGGGGAGGGTTCCTGTGTATTGGTTCCGTTGTTTGAGAATGCATTGCAGGGAGGCTTCTACTTGTCTGTCACTTTGAGGGTGACCTGACGGGCTCCCGGGTTGGATCGAAGGGGTTTCATAGTTTCATATAAGACCTAGAAGGGTTCCGGGAAATTCCTGTACCCCCAAACCCAAAACGCTATTCTAAGTGAAAGGATCCTAGACTATACGGTTTGGGCTTTTGACCTGCAGGATAAGCTTCTTACCTTTGGTTAGTAGGGAATGGAGGAATGGGGTATAGATATAACTACGGAGGGAATCCAGTGTGCTCGGGCTAAGATGCTCAACAACGCGATGAGGAGCAGACGAGGCCTGCCACCTAAACCCTACCTACAGTCTCCATTGTAGTTCCTTTTGGGGGTTACCTTTTAGGATCCTTAATACATATTTGGTTAAACCAACAAAAGGAACTACAAGGGAGACTATAGGTAAACCCTAAAGCAGGCTGATCTCCGCATGACTCACCAGCACGGGAGTCTCCGGAGCGACAAAACCTGACGAAGAGGACACTCAGCAGACAACGGCACCTGGGTAGTTGTCAAAATTAGGGTCCCTTTTTGGGTACCCTAAATATTAGGTGCTGTATTATAATAGGGACCCAAAAAGGGACCATAATTTTAACAACCACCCACCTGCTGTTCGAGTTGTCGCCAATCTTGGTCCTGTGTTGCCGAAGTTGGCACTGGCACGGTGCAACGAGTTCCAGGAGCTGCTGCCGGATGTGTGGTGCCTGTCAGTGCTCTGCGATCAGTTCGTTGCTGTGGCCGCGGATGCCTCAGGCAAACCTGCCTTACCGAGCAACGTTCGTAAAGAAGTTGCGCGTGCGCGTAGCTTTGATACCGCGCTGCATGTTCCTCGACTGCCGATCAACCTTGATCGAAGGAGCCGGTGGCTGTCAGCAAAATTACCGACCGAGCTATGAAATCGAAGTAAGGGTTCCCTAGTGTTCTGAATCCTCTGAGCCGAAAGTTGCTGAGTGACCCAAAACCCCAACTCCTAAGCCCCAAATCCTGAGTCCAAAACCAACAGTTTAAGACTAAATGGTTAAGCCCTAAATCCTTTAACCTCAAATCCATCCAACTCCCTGAGTCTTTAACCCCTAAACTCCGAATACCTATACCCCGAATCGCCAAATCCCTAAACCCTGAATCCCAAAACCATCCTGCACCCTATAATGTCAATGTGTTAATGTGTGTCTCAAAACAGGCACTGCGCGCAGTTGCCTGGCAGCCCGAAGGGCTACAAAATCACATGTGAGCGCCACTACTCCGCAGAGTCACCGGCCCAACACATGGTGATTACGAATTTACAAAGTGGTAAACTCAACCGAAAAGAGCTCCCTAAACCCGAAACCCTAAATCCTAAATCCCTAAAACCCCAAACTCTCTCAGCCCTGATCTTTCGGAGGCGACACCGCCACGCTGGGCATCTCTGACTTTGCCCAGGGCCAGCTGGGTGAGGCAGCGTTTGGGATTCTTGGGGCTTCGGGTTTAGAGTGTAGGGTTTAGGATCCAGAATCTGGGGTTTGGGATTCTGGGTATAGGATTTGGGTTGAGGTTTAAAGGTTTAGGTTAATTAGGGGACAGGCCTGATTTATGTGAATGTAGTTAGTATAGGGTTTAGGGTGTAGCGGAAAGGTACAAGCAGTCTCCACAATAATGTGCTGTTGCGTACGGTTTCGTAAGTCTAATTTGGAATCCACTTGACAGGTTCTGGTTTGTGTGGTGACAGCAGGCTTTAATTGAATTTTGCCGAGAAGGTCTATGTTTTCGGGGGCTTGGTTTGCTTTTACATGGTGTCGCTAGGCCTTCAAGCCCCAGAATTCACTAAACCTTCATAGAACCCCGTATTGATTATAGTAACTGAACCCCACCCAAAACATCAAACCGTTCCTTGTTAAAGGAACCCTGAAGCCGCGCAATGCCAGGTCGTCTATGTCGAGCTCCCCGAGGTAGGTGCCAAGTTCTCCACGAAGGCAGGGGCGGCGTGGACTCAGGGTTAGGATGTACGGTTTAGGGGGGGGGGGGGGGGGGGTTGGGGGTTTAGGGTTTAGTGTTGGGGGCTGGGGTTGGGCTTAAGTTAAGATTTAGGGGTTTAAAGATTTCGAGCTTAAGGTCTTAGGGTGTTACAGGTTGAGGATTCAGAGTTTCTCGACTCTTAGTTTTCGGATCGGGATTACGGTGCAAGTCTTATTAGGCTGTTAGTTTAGCTACCGCGTTGTGTAGTGTCGCAACCCATTCAGTTCAGGCTTCCGGCATTGCCGTTTACATATGGTTGTGCCTTTCGGTTACGGGTTGCCGGTTTGTCCAAGATGGCGGTGCTGCAGTTGCTTCTTGTGCAGATGTGGGTGGTGCTGATGATTTTGGTGATGTTGATGATGATGTCAATGCGGGTACAAAGCATGATTCATGATTCCTCATTGCCAAAAACATCGAAATCGCTCCTCATTGCCAAAAACATCGAAATCGCTTGCGAACAAATCCGGGGATGAGTAGCGGTGGTACTAGTCGTCATCGTAGTAGTAGTAGTAGTAGTAGTAGTAGTAGTAGTAGTAGTAGTAGTAGTAGCAGTAGTAATAGCAGTAGCAGTAGCAGTAGCAGCAGGAGTAGTAGTAGTAGTAGCAGCAGGAGTAGTAGTAGTAGTAGTAGTAGTAGCAGTAGTAGTAGTAGTAGTAGTAGTAGTAGTCGTCGTCGTCGTCGTCGTGGTCGTGGTCGTGGTCGTCGTAGTAGTGGTAGTGGTAGTGGTAGTGGTAGTGGTAGTGGTAGTGGTAGTGGTAGTGGTAGTGGTAGTGGTAGTGGTAGTAGTAGTAGTAGTAGTAGTAGTAGTAGTAGTAGTAGTAGTAGTAGTAGTAGTAGTGGTAGTGGTAGTGGTAGTGGTAGTGGTAGTGGTAGTGGTAGCGGTAGCGGTAGCGGTAGCGGTAGCGGTAGGGGTAGGGGTAGTGGTAGTGGTTTTGGTAGTGGTAGTGGTAGTGGTGGTGGTGGTGGTGGTGGTGGTGGTAGTAGTAGTAGTAGTGGTAGTGGTAGTGGTAGTGGTAGTGGTAGTGGTAGTGGCAGTAGTAGTAGTAGTAGTAGTAGTAGTAGTAGTAGTAGTAGTAGTAGTAGTAGTAGTAGTAGTAGTAGTAGTAGTAGTAGTAGTAGTGGTAGTAGTAGTAGTAATCGTCGTCGTAGCAGCACTGGCATCTGTGGTAGTACTGGTAGCAGTTCATTCAACTTAGTAAACTCCAACGCTGTATACTGTATACCACTATTTAGTAAAAAGAAAACCAGACAAAATCAACACGAGCATTGAAGCAATGTTGTCTACACGATAACCTTAACGTTCAGGATGCTGGGCCGAGACCTGACCTGGGCATATTATGCTGACTTAGTAGCCACCCTTTAGACCAGAAACCGTGCGACTAGCAAATTCTCCGACCGAATTCAAGCAGCTTCGCAGAGCTCCAGGACACCATCTGCACCTTGGAGAGTGTGAAAGCAGTTGGAGAGGTCTACGCTCCGGTGGACATGGAGGCCGGATCTGTGGGAAGATCACTGTTTGGTAGGTGCTTTGTGTTGTTCTCACATCTAAGGCATGTTGTGCTGCCCCCTTACCCTGCCCCCATGGTCCGTGCTGGGATAGACACTATTTCCACACTATGTCGGGCTATTCCGCAGGATTTGGGTGCCTTTTCGTCACTATTCCGTACTATCCCGGCGCACTACCTATAGTCTCCATTGTAGTTCCTTTTTTTGGTTAACCAAAAACTTTATTATAGGATCCTAACCATAAAACTGGTTAACCAAAAAAAGGAACTACAATGGGGACTATAGGAAGACCCTGATCACAAACATCTACTGTAGGGGCCTCAATTATTGGAATAGGTTTTAGGGTTATATTCTACTATAATTATAATAAGGAGCTGCCAAAACCCAACTCTAATTAGGTAACTCGCAGTCTTGGAGCAGACTCCGTGAAACTGCTTAGAGCTTGCGGCCCAATCCGAGGGGGACCCAGATGCCTCCAGAAGAGATTAGGCGTGTTCTGCACTGCAACCGGCAAAATTTTGAGGCAAGACTTCAGCCGCAGATTGCGTAGAGATAGAGTGGAAACTGGCACGGCCGCTGGGGTTAGCTGCAGAAACTGCCCTGTGTGCTCCGGAATCGGGTCTGTGCACAGCTCCCTCCCGCGAAGTGGCGGTTGTGGGGTGGAGGGGGGTGGGTTGGGGGGTCCGCTTTCGGAACAACAGCTGGAGGTGTTCGTCGCTCCGCTTGGCAACAAAGCTGAAGTTGGCCGTCTACAGCATCATACTTCGATTTAGGTCCACATGTTGAGAGCAGCTGCAGGGAAGAGTTGCCAATGCCTTAACATGTTTGGTTTTCAGTGATTCTGAACAGTTTTTGGGAGGTTTCGGAACGTGATGAACCTCTGACCACAAAGCCATAAACAGAAACCAAGTGGACCTATGCGCGCGCCCTGGAACTGAAATGCTTGGTTTTGTGCGTTAGCTTGTTTTATGGTTAGGAGCCTGCAATAAGGCATGCCAGAATCCAGGGGCTGGATAGTTCCATGTCCAGCTGCTCTTTTTGGTTGGATTCTTGATTATCTAGCAATCCGTACATGAGACTGGAGCTGGCTGGATGCTGCCACACCCATTGTAATCCCCAAACTTCAGGTAAACCCTAAAACCTAAACCCTAAATGCTAAACCCTAAACCCTTCAGGTCACCGACATCAACGTCAAGCTGTCAGACGAGCCGGCAACTATCAACAGCTCTCCAGAGGATGAGGGTTGGCTCGTGAAGGCAACGGACTTTGCGCCTGGGTCATCCTCGGTTGAAGATACAAATCCTGCATGACCCATAATAAGGAACATACCATAATTCCCATAGTCTAGGGTCCTTAAAGTAATGCAGGATTTATATCATCAACAGTAGGTCAGTAGGAATAATTCTTCTTTCGAATTCGAGTTTAAATCCATGGGGGTGACGATATACATTAGTTTGTCCTGTCCTTCCACCATCTTGCTTTCCACTGGGGCCGAGAGCCACCCTAGTTTACGAATGTCAGGGTTTTGTCCGCGCATGGTCCTACTCGAACATACCCATGCCATGGCACTACCCATAGGCCCCAAAGTAGTTCCTTTTTGATTTCATATATAGAAATCTATAAGGTAATCCCAAAAAGGAACTACTTTGGGGCCTATGGGTATTCCGACCATCAGCAACAACCCCGCTGATTTCGGCTTACAGTTGCCTATATAAGGGTTTAGGAAGCAAATCTCTTCGAAGAGAACCACGGGCCATCTAGGAGTCGCATGATGGTATCATACCATCATTTGGGCGTCTGGGTATGCCAAACTCTCCTTGACGTATCGGCCGAAGGGTTCATGGGGGGCACTCTGTGGATTTTCGTCGCCTTTGTCGCCGGTGCACTGGACGCGTTTCGCTTGGACAGCCTGGACGAGTTCTCAGGCGGAACCTAAACTCCTAAACCCTGGGTTTAGGATTTCAGGGGACCCCCTACCTCAACGGCAACCCTAAACCCCAAACTTCAAGACGAACCCTTTTAATAGAGCTTAATATAGTGGGCCTTCAGGATACAATACAGGGTAGTTGGGGTCTAGGTAGACCCTACCTATAGTCTCCATTGTAGTTCCTTTTTTGGTTAACCAAAATCTCTACTATAGGATCCTAACCATAAAACTGGCTAACCAAAAAAAGGAACTACAATGGAGACTATAGGGAGACGCCTCAACAGAGCTCTTAGAAGACTTTGCTGTGGGCTTTCGCAGCCAACCAGGAAGCCTCAACACTGGCAAGGCCGCATCAAAGGAGCCCCTGACTAAATTTAAGGTTTAGGGTTTTAGGGGGTAGGGCTTTAGGCTTGGGGTTTTAGGGTTTAGGTCTTTTGAGATAGGGGGTTTAGGGTGTTTAGGGTTCAGGGTGTAGGGGGCAGGCTGTGTGTGACGACTACAAGAAGACCTTAATGAGGGAGTTTGCCTTTGGAGAGACCGATAATTCAGTCCAGAGTTAAAGGTGGCGTGGCACGGTCTCCTTATATGATTTTGTTTATTTTGTTCATATATAACCCAAGAGAATATTAACAATACTTTTTGTATTATGGTTCCTAAGGGGGGGTATAGAGTAGAAGCTATGGGTTTTGTTTCAGTTCCATCAAGCGCAGTTCCCTGAAAGGGAGGAGGTGTTGACTCAGCGGGAATGTGCTGAACCATGAAATTCCTTGTCGAAGATGGCTCCCTCAGGGCCTAAACTTTAACCCCAAAACTCTGAAGAGGAAACCACAGCGTGCCGTGGCCTGCCTGACGAGTCGGTTGTGTTGGTGCTGAGCTGTATTCCCGGTTTCACACTGTTGCTTGGCACGCTCATTCTTGGCAGCTTGCCTTACGTAACAAGAGGTATTCCGCTTGGGGTTTGAGCTTTGCGGGTTTAGAGCAGGCCACCGTAGCAAGTGCACCAGATTGCGTTTTTCGGGGGCATCCCTAAACCGTATTTGCCAACACTTAGCTCTTGGTTGCATCGCTGTCTTCTCGCGAAGGTAAGGGCTTCAGCCTGAAAATGCTGGGCGGCGTCCCTGTTAACTGGAGCTGCGCCTGCCTCCAAAGACAGCGACCCCGGACAGATCGTTTGGGGCTCGAGCTACGGGGGTGCGAGGCAAACAGACTCTGATTGAATAAACCTCTGATTCATACAGACCCTGTTTTTGTCAACCCCTGACCAATTCACTATCTTGAGAATACTGGGGTCCCTAAACGACAATCGTTATTCAGGAACAGGGGCTCACTACCACGGCGTGATTCGCATGTTTAGTCAGAAGCAGGGATTTTGACGCCAGAGGTGTGGTTCTTGACCCCATTTAATGCAAACTACTGAGACCTTGAGCACCAGCGACACGATACTTACTAAAGGGGCCTAATTGTTATCTATACTGTCTTAAGTGAGGCTTCCATATCTTAGTTATAGTATAATGGGCTCCAAAACCCTATTCTAATTATAACCCCTATACGTCATTTTCCAAGGAGGAAATCGAGCCGGTGCGACCTTGGTATCACAGGCTGTTGACGTGTGCCTGCTGTCCCATCCGGACGTGTCTCAAAGGAGTGGCCTTGCTACTGCGCTTTTCTTGTGCCGCGATCTTGCTGCCTTTCCATCTCATCTCAAAGCTGATCGTTTACTTTGTGGTTGAACGGCTGCAGGCGCTCACGCTGTTCCTTGCTCATGTGGTGTTTCTGACTTCGGTCCTGCACGAAGATGCAAAAAGTGGTGCCCTCAACTCGCAGACTGGGGCTCCCTGGTCAACCTGGCAGTTCCTGCTGCTAATGGCAAGTGCTTGGCTGCTTCTCCAGGCCTTTCTGCGAGTAGGCTTGTCTGAGAACGATCCGGGCCTCAGCGGGCTTGACTTCCTGAAGTGCTATGTCTTCTACGTCACACCCGGTATTGGTGCAGGCTTTGATCTCAGCAAGGACATCATCTTGGCAGCGTTATGTGCAAATTCTAGCTTCCACTTCGTGCAGGGCATGGGGTACTTGTGCTATTCTGGCTGATTGCTATGCACTGCGTACGAATGGTCTACTCTACGAAGGCAAAAGATGAGGCATGCTCTGCGTATGGAAGCTTGCTTTACTTGAAGACTTCAACAGCACTACGTTTTGCCACACGGCTCAGGTTTTTGCATGCTCGTGTGTTCACCAAGCATGAATGGCGAGTCATGGTTGTCAAGGAAAATGTGGCCCTGGTGGCTGCTGCAAGCCTGGCTTTGTCGGAGAAGCGCGTCAATACTAAAGTTTTCACTCTTGTGTGGAATATTGGTGTACCTCTCTTCAAGCTTGTGGCTGGCTTCGCCTCCAGTCGTTTCGATGACGAGAGTGAGCAGGAAGAGGCTTTGGCGGAATCAACTGCAGCGACAGTGGAAGAAGCTGAAGAGCCCGAGACGTCAGAAGGGCCAGGGAACCAGGCGACCTAGTGTGCCCTTACAGGGAACTCCAGAAAGTTAGAATATGGTTTCAAGGTAGGATCCCCTATAATTTACCTTAAAGGGGTTACGATAATGATATTCCAACTTTCTGGCTTCTACTGTACCTGTGCGATTGTCTGTGTGACCATTGGTCATCAAGGAAATGCTCAGCGTGGACGGCGCGATCATTGTGTTGCCAGTACTGGGTTACGGCCATGTCCACATGCTCAATAGCTCAAGAACTGTAGCATCCCGTGCCTACAGGATTTGTGAGCAATATCTCGATTGTAGATGACACAGTCACAGTGCAGACCTTGCAGCTTGATGAGCAGTTGGCAGTCGGAAGACAAGTTAGGCAACTATTATTACTATTATTACTATTACTATTATTACTAGTGTTAAGATTACTATTGTTATTACTATTATTACTATTATTACTATTGTTATTATTGCTCTTGTACTGAGACCCCCAGAACCTAACCGCTGGACCCTAGAAGCCTAAACTCCAAGCCCTTGAGCCCTCAACCCCCAAATTCCTGAATCCTATGCGTCCAAAGCCTCAGAAGCTTAACACCTCCAAAGCTCTCTCTTCCTGTGTTGCCCTTGATAGTATGGTCTTTCGACCCAATGAACTTCATAAACCTATGGATGCCTGTAGAGCCTGAGGGGAATCGCTCGCATTTCTGGGAGTTTGGGCAAAGCAGGTGAAGTTCTCCGGTGATGCCAGCTCCCTGATGGATCGCCTTGGCCTTGGAGGGTATAGGGCTTACCCAGAGGCCCCCAAAATAGATCCTTTTTGGGGTTCATATATAGAATCCTACAAGGTAAGCCCCAAAAAAGGAACTACTATGGGGCCTTTGGGGTAGGGAAGTTCCGCAACCCAGGTTGAGGTTTAAGCTTTCGCGGTGTGTGTGGGTTGCAGGTCTCGGGTTCCTCAGTTCAGGGTTGCGGGTACCGAAGACTAGGATGCCCAGTAGTACCCTTATTCCCTTTTGTAGTCCTAGGTTCCTTATAAAGTTACCCAATACCAAAAAGAGAGGCCTTTTTATTCTTAGGTTACTGGGCATCCTAGAATACCCGTGTGTGATTGCACAAACTCTTGCTCAGGGTTCTTGATTAGGAGTGTACTGTCATAGATCCCCAAACCCTAAGTGTAAGAATTGTAAGTCTGATTCGTCTCGAGGGAGGAGATCCAGACGAGCTTGTTCGGGTTCTGCAAGTAGGGATTGCTGGTCATATATACTGCTGGTAGACCCTGTCCTGCCTCCTGCCAGCTTACGTACACCACCAGAAAGCCTGAAGATTTCTTTGTTTACAATCTGCGTTTACTACCCTTTACTTACACTTGTAAGAGCCCTTATATGGCAGCCTTAATCGAGCCCTCATGCACTATGGACCCGTTTTGACAACATAGAATTCTAGATGTATGTCGTGTCCTTGTTGTTCGACACTGCTCGAACCTTCAATCCGGTTAGCCGGATATATGAAGGAATGTTAACATACACATGGAAGGAGAGAGAGTGTGTGTGAATAAGGGGATAGTGTTGCTGATCGTTCAGACGTCCAGACCTCTATGTTGACATCTAATCTACTTCGTCGGCAGCAGTGGTGGTCCGTGTCGTCCTCACTACCATGCCCTGTGTATCCACGGACGGAGTTAAACGAGCCGGGAGCCCGGCGATGCGCATATCCCAACTTTTGGATTCTGGATGTCTTGGAGACCGAAGCCTCATACCGCCCTAATTCCATGTGCGAGTGTTAATAGTCACCCTACACCCCTAAACCCTAAACCCCAAACCCTAAACTTAGTTTCACTGTTAGTATAGACCGCAGCTTAAGCTCCGACAGAGCAGGATCCCTCGTATGAGGAGTTTAGATCGTATGAGGATTACATGTCATCTGAAGGCAGCCCCCCCTGTCCCGATCGCCAATGGCCCAATGTAGGTGCTGCCTATGAGAAGCACCTGGAGTCTGAGAAGACGGAGGAGTGAGCAGTTGGCCCGTCGAAATCCGCGACTGCGACCGCCTTAGGTCGGAAGGTGCAGGATCAGAGCTTAAAGTGAGACTTTGTCTTTGTAAGCCTTTAGCCCTTGCTCCCCCCCCTCGCGGTTGTGCCCTAATACCACTCCGAAAGCCCCTTACATGTCTTATCTTGCCCCTAAACCCTAAACCCTAAACCGTTGCCACCCAAGCCAAGCCAGAGAAGTTCTGGGAATAGCTGAGACAGCAAAGCCTCTGCACTGGAGACCTTTTGGAGCGGGCAGCCCCTAAACCCTAGCCCTAACCCAAAGGGTCCAAAGTACCGATATAGTAGAATGTCGGGTTTCTATATTAGGAATTACTACTATTACTTGGGGAAGTATTCCCCATAACAGTACATAGGACCCTTTGGGTAAATCCTAAACCCTAAACCCTCCCTCCAAGCACCTGAAGGGGCGAAGCCTGTTATTGCTTGTCACTTCCCCCGCAGATTGCTGATCCTTCACCCAGTGTCAGCAGACGAAAGTTTGAGAGTCCCGACTGTCGGACTCTTCCGACTTGGGGTGGTGGCCTTGCATTCGAGCAGGAATTCCTAAGATTACCGCGAGAACACATCTTGGTAGGTTTGTCGGCCAGTGTGGAGGGCTTAGTGGTGCACAGATTGTAGGGTTCAACATGCTTCAGTTCTCTATAATACAGACCCTAAGCCACGAACCTTAAGTAGCTGCTCCGTACAAGACCTGCAGAGTCCAAGGTTGCGGATTTAGCTATGCCATTCACCGTCCGGGGTTTCAGGGCATGGGGCCTGGAATTGGGGAGATGAGCGTTCAGATCAGGATTTTGTTCGTATTGTTCGGTGATTTCATGAATTTTGATGGGGAGGGGGCAAATGCATGAACGCACTTCTCGCAGTTTGCATTAAGCGCTTTGACACCTCATCATGCCGCTTCCAAGGTTTGCGTATACGACTTAAGTTGGGCCGCTGAGACATCTGATGACGTCTGATATCCCCAAGTCCTTACGTGGAACGAGCTGGAACTTCTTCTGAAGACTGCCGTGAGGGCAATCTAAAATCACGTGCGGCTGCTGCGGGCGGTGTTTTCGCACTGTGGGAGATGGCCAGCTCGGCTTGGCTGGAGCCAGGCTAGGATGCCCAGTAGTACCCTTATTCCTTTTTTGTAGTCCTAGGTTCCTTATAAAGTTACCCAATACCAAAAAGAGAGGCCTTTTTATTCTTAGGTTACTGGGTATCCTAGCAGGGCTCTTATCAACTACCCATAGGCTTCATAGTATAGTTCCTTTCGGGGATTACCTTAATTACAGAATTCTAAATATGAGCCCCAAAAAGGAACTACTCTGGAGCCTTAAAGTAGTAACTAGGGGGTCCCAGCTTGGGGATCCTTGCCTGATTAACATTCTAGGATCTGACCATCTAGGGTGTATCTCGCAAGCTTTGCATTGCAAATCTGGGTGTTACGAAGCTCCCCATCTTTGAGAGAAAGATCTGGCTCATCTCCGCCACACACGGATCCCCGCATATGCCGCACTCGATGCCCATACAATGCAAGAGAGTAAAACTGCTTGTTCTTTTGGCAAACGGACTCGTTCTCACAGTTTGTAACTTTATACAAACGGGGTTTAGGGTTGCCGGTGTATCCTAGCAAACTTGTAAGAAGGGAAACTTGTCTGAAGACTAACTGAGGATGTAGGCTTCCTAAACCCTAAAAATCCTAAACCCTATAAACCCTAAACCCTAAAGGCCTTATATAGGTCCTAAGCCTTATAAACCCTAAAGGCCCTAAACCCTAAATGCCCTAAAAGCCCCAAACCCTAAACCCTAGCATCCTAAACCCTATAAACCCTATTATAAGCCCAACAAACCCTATAAGTCCTACAAACCCTATAAGCCCTAAAGGCCCTAAAGGCCCTAAAAGCCCTAGCCTTGGAATAATAAGGCCTTATAGGTCCTAAGCCCTAAACCCTAAATGCCCTAAAAGCCCCAAACCCTAAACCCTAGCCTTGGAATATCCTTCAGGTGGGGTTTCGGGGCCCAGCCCGGGGCGCTCCGCGGGTTATGGGGCTTGGTGCATAAAGCTTTCGGCTCCATCACTTCGTAGTTGGGTTTTAGTGTTTAGGGTTTTTGGGTTTAGGGTTTAGGGGTTTAGGGTTTACGGTTTAGGGTTTAGGGTTTCTTAGATAGTGAACTTGGGAACTTTAAACTCTTTGGCCTTATATAATTAGCTCTATCTTAGAACGATTGAGCTTTTGGGGGCCCGGCTGTTGAAGAAGACATGTTTAGGGTTTAGGGGTCTGGGGTTTTAGGACTTCTTGGAGGTTTATGCAATCCTACCGTCCTTGAAGAGGTTAAGTTGCCATGTTTAGTTGAGATGGTTAACTTTTTGAGCTGGGATACTCAGCCGCCAGTAATGAGGAACCCTAGCAATTTTTTCGTAATCATGTTCGCTTCCGCTGTTTCAATACAAGGAACCCTATGGAATATTGTAATTATGTCGGCTTCTACAGTAAACGGATCTATGGTATACCCTATAAACCCTAAACCCTAAAGGCCTTGCCCCAAACCCTAGACCCAGTATACGGAGCTACGGTTGGGGTCTAGGGCGTCCGAGGTGTAGGGCGAGTTCGAAGGCTTCGCCCTAAAGGTTCCTTCCGGGTGCCTTTAAAGGTTGCCTTTACAGATTCTGTTGAAGGCTCCTTTAAGGGGGTTTAAGGTTTAGGGTTAAAGGCTTAGGGTTAAAAGGGTTAATGGGTTCAGGGGTGTAGGTCTTTAGGGGTTTAGGGGTAAAGGTTCAGGGTTGAGAGTTTAGGGTTTAGTAGGGGTTTAGTGCTTAGGGTTTAAGGTTGCTGTTGTTGGGTCTCCTGGGGGCCAGCACACCTGGTTGCTGCTGGATTCCAGTTGTGGGGAATCAAGACTAGGAAAGAAACACATGACGGCTTCAAAAGGTCAGCCCTGTTCGGGGTCTGAGGGTTAAGGGTTTTTAAGTTCAGGGATCCGGTGGGTTCAATCATGCAGATATGCAGAAGTCTGTGTGCGTGTGCATGTTTTACTGTGTCGTGCTGTAGTCTGTACATGGGAACCTCTGCGCGTGATGACAGTTGAATGATGGCGAAGTCAGGCACTACAGTAGGGCTTAAAGCCCGGTGTGGGGGTGTAGGCTCTAGGGCTCAATACTACTAATTCCTGTTCACACAAACATAGCAGATACTTCAAAATCCTATTCTAGCATGAAGGTCCGTACAGGGGTCGGGGCTCAGTTTCAATCATGCTTTAAACTTTAATCTCTACGTGAGTGCCTGGGGCGATGCAATCGCACCCGTTCTGTGTACGTGCCAACCTGTATCAGGAAAGTATTATGACATCATCCGAAATGTCATGGGATGAGTCCGTTCGAGGGCTAACATGTGCTAGATCTCATACCTATTATAGTTCACACCTTAAAACTAAAATCCCTAAAGCAGCCCTCACGCCCTCAACCCTAGTTCGTATATTACATGCATACGTATTAATGTATACGCGTGTACATGTGTAACCTTTAGAGATAAACCCTGTTTCCTGCATACATGTGTTCCTCTTCCGTTTCCGTGAAGTTAAAGCATCTGTTTTTGAACGGCAGCGTCCGCAGGCTTTCAGCTCAATGAGTCCGTTTCTGCCAGGTTTGCCCATGGCATTCTTGATAGTGTTTAGGGCTTCGGGTAATATAGGGCCCATTGCCGAGATAGACACCCCCAGCCCTGCACCCTAGGCCTTAAAAGGTTGTAGAACCCTTTTTCATAATTGCATCTCTAACACAACTGCACATCTAGCTTCTAACCATGGACGCGACCCGAAACCCCGGTTTTATATGTCTGCAGCCATGGATGGAGACACGACCAAAGACAGCCGCAGGAAGCTTCGACTAGGCGTCGTTTTCGCCTTCGCGGCTGTGCTGACGCTTGTTGGCACTTGCCCTAAACCCTAAACGCCAAAAGACGAAGCCCCAAAGGCCCCAAACCCTATAAACCCCTAAATCCATGAACCCAGCATCTCTGAACTGGCTCTAAACCTTAAACAGTTGAGGGTTTTTCGGTTCTTCGGGGCTGGGGTGGTTTCAGTTTCTAGAGGGCTTCTTCCACCAAGTCTGGGCCCAGACCTTACATTGCCGCCGCAGAGTATGAAACATTGCAATCATTCCAAGATAGCAAACGACAGAACGCAATAAAGCACACACGCAGTACGTGATAATACAGTATCTGTATATATATATATATGTATATATTATATACATATAGAAAAATCTGTATGTACAACCTACTAAATCGCAGAACTTACTCTGGCCCGCGAATCGATGGGCTTTGAAGCAACTCTTGCTGACCAGGGTGCTGGTTCTGTGCGCCGTTCGACCTCAGCAGTCTGGTCCTGTACCATCGCCGCTGGCGCTGGCGGCGAGGTACGGGGAAGTGTCGCACCCCTGTCTGACTGCTATAGAGGGGGCCTTTGCTGGCCAATAATTACCCATTCTGTTTTGGGGGCTCCTTATTACAACTATAGTATACTGGGCCCCAGAAGCTTATTGCAATTGTAAGGGCCCCCATCAGGTAAGGTGGCGTGGTCGTTTGAGGATTTGGATTTGCGTGCGTTGCTGTTATTCGCGTTCAGATTCAGTTGGCGCGATTTTCCTAAAGGGAAACAGTGAACTCTTCTTGGGTTGCACATTGAACACGGAGGTTTCTGGCCTCTGTAGATGAGAACTCAGGAGAGACGCCTACCGTTGATGATATAAATCCTGCAGTACCACAAGGACCCCAGACTATGGGAATTGCGGTATATGCCTATTTAAGGGTAATGCAGGATGTATATCATCAGCCATAGGTGTTGAGGCTGTGGTTATCAGGTTTGACCATCTTCAGGGCACGAGAAGAAACCTGGTGAACTACCAGTATGATTCCTTGACTTTCTTCCTAAGTTATGCATTGTACTAGAATCTAGTTAAGGCCCCAACTACATTCGTCGCTT